CCGCTCCCTACAAAGCCAGACAGCCACAGGGACAGATGGAAAAATGGGACTTCTACTGGCCAGCAGCAATAAGGAGGCTCAGCTGAATATTCAAACATCATGGCCTACTCTGCTAGAGAGGGTGCTAAAATGGAAATAATTTCTTGGGTGTCCTTTGAGCAAAAGGAGGGTTGCTTCATCTGAGGAGTATGTGGAAGGTCTGCTTGAGTCTTCTTCCCAAAGCTCAATTTGCGTAAGTTCAGAAAGTTTCAAGTTCTGGTTAGGATGGCATTTGAGGAAGAAGGATGCTATGGAGTTTTGCTCTTCCTCTTTCCCCTAACTGGTTTGGTTACATGGCACCTATCCTACCTGTCTTTATCCAGACACAGAAACTCTACAAACCAACGCCAGTGACACCATGAATAAATTAAAGCTTAATGAGAAAGATTATTCGTGTGCAAATTTCTAGAGGAACTTCAAGTTTCTTTGGTAATAAAAGGATCAAAACGTTTACTAAGGCTGCCAAATTTCTAGTCACACAAAACCAAATGCCCTTGCCCCTTTCCTTCCCAGCCCACCCTGAGATACCACCTTGCTCCCACCCATTCCCTAAGGCCCTGTCCCCACCCCGTCCGTCCGTCTGCTGCTCACTCTTCCCACCCTCACTCACTTGCTCATTTTAATGAGGCTGGGGCAGGGTTCAAGAGGGGGTGAGGACTCTGGATGGGGGTATGAGTGCTCTGGGGAGGGACCAGGGATGAAAAGTTAGGGGCCTCTGAGAGGAGAGAGGGGGTCGGGATGTGGGAGGGGGTGAAAGTTCCGTCTAGGAGCATGGCCTCTGGGGTGAGTGGAGGGATGAGGGGTTTAGGCTACAGGAGGGGACTCAGGGCCTGGGGAAAGGGGCTGGAATGCAGGAGGGGGTGTGGGATGCCAGCTCCAGCAGAAGTCTGAGTATGGGCGGGCGGTGTTCAGGCGCTGGCAGCATTTACCTCGCAATGTGTGTGTGTGGGGGGGGGGTGGCTCCCCAGAGGCAGCAACATGTCCCGGCACAGGGGTGACTCTTCAGCATGCACACTGACCCGCCCCTCACCAGCACCGCCCCACAGCTCCCATTGACCATGATTCCTGGCCAACGGGAGCTGTGGAGCCAGCCCTCGGGGCAGGGCATGAGGCCCCCGTGGCCGCTCTTCACGCTTAGGAGCCAAGGGTCATGTTCCTGTTTCTCAGGAGCCATGCAGAGCCAGGTAGGAAGCCAGCCGGACCTACAACAATTGGGCTTCTAATGGGCCGGATGGCGGTGCTGACCAGAGCTAGCAAGATCCCTTTTCGACCAGGTGTTCCAGTCAAAAACTGGACACCTGGCAAATCTAACTCATCCCCTTCTAAAGCTCAGAGCTACAGCGCCACCCATCCCTACCCACACTTCGTGAAGGACATCCACTCGATCCTTTGGACTGAGGGGAAAGCGTCGCAGTACACACATCTGTGCTGTGTCTCCGTGCATCTCGCCCGCACAGGAGCAAGGGTAGCCATAGCCAAGCACTCACCAAAGCAGCCACGGCTCGGACGCAGATTAGAATCATGGCAGCTCTGGAAAGCAAGCTAACGCGGCTTGCTGCCGCAGTTCCACAAGCAGTGCCAGAGGGCAAGAGCGAGGTGGCCAGGGATGTGCTGAGAAGAGCTGGATGTGGGGAGTGCTGATAAACACACAGCCACGTCTCAACTCTTCTGGCTGAACGCTGCGCAAGCAGGGCACGCCACAAATCTCCTGGCTAAGGACCAAAGGGAAAAAAGAGCATGGCAAAGGATAAAACTCTCTCACTCATGCTTTGTCCCATCTGTCCAGCTCTTGGGAGAAAGTCCTGCAAGATTGCAATGGGACTGGTCCTGAGAGGAGCATCCTCAACTCCCATGATCTCAGTGGGAGCAAAGGGAGGGTCTCTTGCAAGTTCCCACCCAGACCAAGGGCAGAGCTAGGTCTGTTCTCCCAGAATTGAAGCAGCAGATGCTCATCGCAGAGTTTCTATTTAGTGTTTTACCATTTGAATTTTGCTTAAAATGTAGTCAGCTGGGTTAGTGACGGGGGGCTCTGCACAGGGCTCTCATTCGCTCCTGGGGCAGCCTCCGCAAAGGTGGGCATTCCAGAGGGAAAACCAAGGACTAGTGGGCGAATTAAAGCCCGTACTAAATTGAACCAAGCTTGCAGAGTCTGGGGAAGCGGGTCCAACACCAAGGTCACAAAGAAAGCACGGCCTAGCTCAAAACCCAAACCCAAGCTGGTAGGATGTTCAATATTCATCAAGAAGCCACCCCGTTGACGAGCGCTCAGTACGTCCCTGTGCACTCTATGGGTGTGTCTAGACTACATGCCTCCATCGACAGAGGCATGTAGATTAGACAGATCGGCATAGGGAAATGAAGCCGCGATTAAAATAATCGCGGCTTCATTTAAATTTAAATGGCTGCCCCACTCTGCCAATCAGTTGTTTGTCGGCAGATCGGGGCAGTCTGGACGCGCCGTGGTCAACAAGGAAGACTTTGTCGATTGGCGGAAGTATGCCTCGTGAAACCAGGTTTACCTGCGCCGGTCGACAAAGGCTTCCTTGTCGACTGCGGCGTGTCCAGACTGCCCCAATCTGCTGACAAACAGCTGATCGGCAGAGCACAGCAGCCATTTAAATTTAAATGAAGCTGCGATTATTTTAATCACGGCTTCATTTCCCTTTTTTGAATAAACTAATCTCCATGCCTCCATCGACGGTGGCATGTAGTTTAGACATACCCTATCAGATTAAATAATGATGTGCAGAGCAGGACGGCAGCATGGCCTATGCCATAAAATCAGGTTATACTTCAATCCCAAGGGTTATGTCAAAACCACATGCTCTATGGTAGCAAGGGCATGTGACTATGCTAAGCTCAGAAGTCTATGGACAGTCATGACCCTGATAAGAGGATATAATATCCTAACAAACAGGACCCTCCTTTCCGCTAATCTCACACTGCCATAGCCAAAGAATTCTTTCAATCCGTTTTCTTTTGTTCACTCGCCACCTTCAAAATCCACACACATTGACGCTGCAAGGAAGAGATCCAAAGCTAACTCGCAATCATCTATTGTGGAGCCAACTCAACTCAAACATTAAACAGAAAACATCTTAAATGAACAATCTTCACTTGGATAATTTCACCGTGTCAGGGGTTGGAAAAATGTGTTGTTAGGGGACACGCAAGCTTTGTAGTTGACACAAGCACTAAAAGCTGCCAAACCAAGTTTGCTGCATTTTTCTAAGAGTGATGCATCCCTGTACTCGGATCCTTAAAAGAGTCGGTAACAAAAGCACCCGCAGCTTTCAAAGTAAGATTCTGTAACCAGAAGCCCATTGGTCATGGTTTCAGAAGATGATCCAGTCAAACAACCTGCTCAACCTTTTGATCAGATTAATTATTTATCACCACTTTTTTATGTAGGGATGTAAAATGCCAGTTAAAAAGTCAGCTATGAGGTTAACCAAATGGTTAACCAGTTAACTGACCAAGCAGGATCCTAGGCCCGAGGCTGGGGCTGCCACCAGTGGCCTGCTGCCGTCGGCAACAGGAGACTCCCAGCTCTGAGGCTGGAGTTGCTGCCAGCTCCCAACTGCTCTGGGGAAGCCTGCCACCTATGGCAGGCCACGGGCTGCTCCAGGGCATCGGTTACCGATACCTGGTAAGTGGCCATCTTTCAAAATAGCCATTGTTTCTACAGAGCTGAAAAGGAAGATGGTGGCCAGTCTACCCTGTAAGCCAGGGCTACTCAACCTTGGAAGCCCTGGGGGCCACAATGATACTCTCAGCTCGTGCCGAGGGCTGCAACTTAAGTGTGGTTGCAGATATATGCAAATAGCTTCTTTCCCACAATGCCCCAGCACTCCTGGCACTTCCTCCCTGGGGGCTAGAAACGCCGACACTCTGTACCTGTCTGTTCCAGCCAGCCTGTCCGCTTGCATCTTTCAATGCTCACTCTGCCGGGAGACACCCCACCATTGTAGGGTGTGTTCCCAGTGGAGGCCACATTCAAAGGATCCCATCCGCAGGCCGTGTGTTGAGCCCCGCGTCAACCCAAACTGCACCACAGGCCGCAAACAAACGGGCCGTGGGCTGCATGTGGCCCATGGGCCACATGTCGAGTAGCCCTGCTGCAAGCTGTCAGTTATGTGGCCTCAGGAGAAAATCTGAGGCTGCTCAGATGGTTAGGGGAGTGCTCACAACTACATTTTTGCTTCTACTGGTGGTGCACATTCACACATGCCTCAGTGCACCTAAAAATTAGTCCTCACATGAATGAAAAAAATCCACACCTATGCAGAAAAGATTAGAGGGAAGACTGATGGTGGCCCCTGACAACATCAGGTTTAAGGCTGAGACAACGCATCTTCACACCAGTCAAAATAACACAACCTCCCCCCCCTTTTTGTGTAGTGTTTAGGGTTGCTAGGTGTCCGGTATTTACCCGGACAGTCTGGTATTTTTGCCTCCTGTCTGGTAAAAAAAATTCAGAGAATACCGGACACCTGAGACATCCGGTATTTTCTGTATTTGTCCCCGGCCAGGAGGCAAAAATACCAGGCACCTGGTAACCCTACAAACACTCAGCGTGCGCCCCCCTCCTGCCCCTGAACCACCTCCCGGCCCTCTGGCCCCATGCTTACCTGGTTCCCCAAGGCTGCCGGCACAAAATGGCTGCCAACCAAAAGACCTAGGGCAAGCAATGCTTCCCCTGGGTTTTAGTGCTCAACTACTACCCTGTTCCTATCCCTGCACTCACTCTTAAAGGGGACATGCTGTTTTAATGCGGTTTTATTTTAATTTTTTTGTAGCTTAAGTCTTTGGAGTCCTTTTTT